GATGTTCACGGATGTCTGATCGTGAATGGTGTGTGCATTCACCTCTATAAATTGATACATAATAAGTGTGCGTAACTTGTGCTGTAGGGAGAGTTAGAGCCCATCAATTCAAGGAACAAGCGCAGCATAGGTGGGCAAAAGCGTATTGCGTGCGTTAGTGGCATGCGCTTCATGTGATGTGGTTGTCGGGGTATGCGCAACATGTGTTTGTGATGAGACTAGGTTAGCGGCCTAGTGGTCTAGTGGTATGATTCTCGCTTTGGGTGCGAGAGGTCCCGGTTTCGATCACCGGCTGGGCCCGTCTTTTGCTCGGAATCCCACCCAACGCCAGGTCGGCCGTGTCCTATCGGGGCAAGGCGGCGTTCGGCGCGTATCACCGGTCTACTCGGTCGCGGCTGGCACTGGGGGAATTTTGCTCAGCAACACGACTCGACGTGACATGGCGTGGTGCTGGTGCTGTACTTGTCGTCCTCGCTTTTTCGCTACACTGCGACTTTGCCACCCTCTTCTCTTCCACCGACAGCCAGCTAGTGACTCCCTACCATCGCACCTTTCTGTTCAAAATTCTTGGCTAGATATATCTCATTTGTGTTTGCATACTACACACCGTTTTTAGATGTTCACGGATGTCTGATCGTGAATGGTGTGTGCATTCACCTCTATAAATTGATACATAATAAGTGTGCGTAACTTGTGCTGTAGGGAGAGTTAGAGCCCATCAATTCAAGGAACAAGCGCAGCATAGGTGGGCAAAAGCGTATTGCGTGCGTTAGTGGCATGCGCTTCATGTGATGTGGTTGTCGGGGTATGCGCGACATGTGTTTGTGAAGAGACTAGGTTAGCGGCCTAGTGGTCTAGTGGTATGATTCTCGCTTTGGGTGCGAGAGGTCCCGGTTTGGATCACCGGCTGGGCCCGTCTTTTGCTCGGAATCCCACCCAAGGCCAGGTCGGCCGTGTCCTATCGGGGCAAGGCGGCGTTCGGCGCGTATCACCGGTCTACTCGGTCGCGGCTGGCACTGGGGGAATTTTGCTCAGCAACACGACTCGACGTGACATGGCGTGGTGCTGGTGCTGTACTTGTCGTCCTCGCTTTTTCGCTACACTGCGACTTTGCCACCCTCTTCTCTTCCACCGACAGCCAGCTAGTGACTCCCTACCATCGCACCTTTCTGTTCAAAATTCTTGGCTAGATATATCTCATTTGTGTTTGTATACTACACACCGTTTTTAGATGTTCACGGATGTCTGATCGTGAATGGTGTGTGCATTCACCCCTATAAATTGATACATAATAAGTGTGCGTAACTTGTGCTATAGGGAGAGTTAGAGCCCATCAATTCAAGGAACAAGCGCAGCATAGGTGGGCAAAAGCGTATTGCGTGCGTTAGTGGCATGCGCTTCATGTGATGTGGCTGTCGGGGTATGCGCGACATGTGTTTGTGATGAAACCAGGTTAGCGGCCTAGTGGTCTAGTGGTATGATTCTCGCTTTGGGTGCGAGAGGTCCCGGTTTCGATCACCGGCTGGGCCCATCTTTTGCTCGGAATCCCAGGTCGGCCGTGTCCTATCGGGGCAAGGCGGCGTTCGGCGCGTATCACCGGTCTACTCGGTCGCGGCTGGCACTGGGGGAATTTTGCTCAGCAACACGACTCGACGTGACATGGCGTGGTGCTGGTGCTGTACTTGTCGTCCTCGCTTTTTCGCTACACTGCGACTTTGCCACCCTCTCCTCTTCCACCTACAGCCAGCTAGTGACTCCCTACCATCGCACCTTTCTGTTCAAAATTCTTGGCTAGATATATCTCATTTGTGTTTGCATACTACACACCGTTTTTAGATGTTCACGGATGTCCGTGCATTCACCTCTATAAATTGATACATAATAAGTGTGCGTAACTTGTGCTGTAGGGAGAGTTAGAGCCCATCAATTCAAGGAACAAGCGCAGCATAGGTGGGCAAAAGCGTATTGCGTGCGTTAGTGGCATGCGCTTCATGTGATGTGGTTGTCGGGGTATGCGCGACATATGTTTGTGAAGAGACTAGGTTAGCGGCCTAGTGGTCTAGTGGTATGATTCTTGCTTTGGGTGCGAGAGCTCCCGGTTTTCTATTACCGGCTAGGCCCGTCTTTTGCTCGGAATGCCACCCAACGCCATGTCGTGCCGTGTCCTATCGGGGCAAGTGGCGTTCGGTGCGTATCACCGGACAACTCGGTCGCGGCTTGGACTGGGGGAAATTTTGCTCAGCAACTCTATTCTACTTGTTATGTCTGGGTGCTGGGTGCTGTACTTGACTATCTCGCTTTTTCTGACACTGCGACTTTGCCATCCTCTTCTCTTCCACCGAATATCCTGATGTGTATTCCTACCATC